AATATTATACTGCATTACACAGTAGAATACAATCAAATTATTGAGAAGCAAAAATATTGTTATCTTAGCTTCACTAAAGATTGAAATAAATGAAAATATTTATGTGAAAACCAATGAGTTTTTATGACATTTTCTCATACTATATTTGAAATAAATAGGTCAACTCAAGATGGATTTTTAGTAAGCAGAATGATTAATTAATAGATTAAAAATAAATAATGAAATACAATAGGTAAAACATTAATGTTTAATGGAAAAAAAATATGCATCATCGGATAATATTTTTCTTAAATAATAATGTTGTATGAATAGCAAATTGCCTAAATACTTTTTTTAATTCGGTAGAATAATGAGAATTAATCTAGTATTTCAAATTAAAGTTTAAAACAACAAAATATTCGTTCTCTAACTTGTGTCTGAAGTTTACTCTGATTGTTTTTTTTTTGTTTTCTTCTAAATTCTTTGATTATCTAATATGAGTCAATACCTTAGTTAAAAATAGCATTCCAATTGAAGCTTTTTTATGTGTCTATTTTCAGCTTTAACTTGAAATTAATGCGTTTATTAAAAATTGTCCCTCTATTTATACACTTATTTTTAATCTAATATGCGTGTTAGAGATTGGAGAAGAGAAACAAGAAATATCTTTTTTTATAGAAGTATGTTGCTTTCGCGTTCTTCATGCTTGTCCATGCACAAAAACAGATAAATATTTATAAGTGTAGACTATTTTTGAAAACAGGAAAAAAATAAAAACATCAATCACATTAGTTAACGTCGTTATGTGACAGAGAAGAAGTCCAATTTTATTGTATTGGGGCGAGTGAGTATTGTTCATAATTTAGATAACGATTACTCACATACATTTTGTTCGTATTTTTTTCTAATAGTTCATGTTCATTAGAGTAACATCGATTTAGAAAATCAAATTCTGATGAATACAGTTAATAAATCATTGCTTACATTTATTTAAATTTTTATCGTTTCTTGGTTTACTGCTTTTCGTTACTTCTCTTTTACAGTGCATTCGAGTGACTTGTCAAAAAAACAAAAATGTAAATCACAAGTCAATGTTCCGATAGAATGGGATTATACTCTAGAATGATACTAAAATGAATGAATGATTTTTGAATAGTCGTTTGAGAGAAGAAAGATCAAAAGATGTATGATTTTTGCCATCTTAACCAGATAAATGTATAAGAATATTGAATTCAAACAAATGAACTGTGAAACAGGATTATTCTCTGAAATAATAAAAGATATCCTACAAAACAAAAAAACAAAAGAATATTTCAATCTCGGGAAATCAAAATTTGTTTCTATTAGTGACATGCATCCTCTTTTTGGTTCTATGAAATATCCTTTGAGTATTTCGAGATACCGTTTGAGTAACTTACAATACTCAAAGGGTATTTCTAACTTCATAGACCCAAAAAGTGGTGGCATTTGTCACTAATAGAAACAAATTTTGGTTTTTCAAGATTGAAATATTCTTTTTTTTTGCCTTTTATTTTTTCAGAGAATAGTAGATAAAATCAGAAAATAAATTTTGACATAGCTAAGAGAAAAAACAAAAATTCATCAAAAATCAATGTTCGTTTTCTATTTGAATTTAAAGTACAGTCTACAGATGTGTATCACATTTGTGCTGTATAATACATAAAAAATGACGTGAAAGTGCTTAAAAACTTATTATTTCATGCAGTTTTTGTCTGCTGTATAACATAATACAATTAATAGTTCGAAAAATCCCCCCCCCTCCCCCCCAAAAAAAGTTTTAGTTGCTTTTAAAGAAAAAATTTTCTAAAAATATTCTAGATCTTCAACAGTAAGTACTTTATAATTTTTTAATTTATTAATTATTTAAATTATGTCAGTTTAATTCTAATCAATCTATTTTCTTTGATTTTGAATAAAATATGCAAATTGAGCATATTTGATTTGCGCTCATTCTATAAAAAAACATCTTTCTATTCGATTGTCTTACTTTTAATTCAAAAATAAATATTATTACGAAATGGTCGATAACCTAGTGACTATAATGAAAATATAGTCTATAATCTATATTTTCATTGATTTTTAAGATTTTTTCACCTACAATCTAGAAGATTTTTGGAGAAAAACTGATATGAAAAATGTCACATTTATTTAGATATGTAGAAATCAATCTGCCGGATTTCACACGACCAAAATATTTACGATCATGGTCATTAGTGTGTCCTACTAATTCTATAAGGTTACCATTGAGAGTTCAATGTTGGTTTTTCAAAAACAAAACATTTGTAATACAATTCTATTTTGAGTTGTTTTATATCTTGAATGTAGTGTCCCATGATGATTGTCTGGTGTCTAAATGAATAAAACTAGTTCTCTTTCATTATTCTAATGCCATTGTCTATAATAGAAAAAAAAGAATTGTTTTTCGGTTATTTTTGTTAAAACACGTACAGGCTGTGCTTTTTACATATTGCCAAAGTGCGTCAACGTCAATTAACGATAGAGACTGAGATTAAGCGTCGAGGTCGATTTATTTGTGAGAATTATAGAAAAAGTTTACTTTTTTATTCTTTTAAAATATCCGTTTCTCTCCACAGATGTTGAAGAATTAAGATTAATAGTTTAAAAACTCGATCAATTGATTTCTGATTGAAAGTAAAAGTTTTATTAGTGCTGTACGAAAAAATCATTTGTTAAAATTATTTGGGATAAATAGAACGAAATTCATTTGAACATCCATCAGTTCAGCCAATTTTAGAAAAGATTTAAAGTTCTTATTTCGAATTTACTATATGACATACAAAGAGCGATAGAGAATATTAAATATTGGTTTTACCCTCCATCTACATCCCTGAAGAGTGAGAAATAATTCTCAAAAGTCGAAAGTCAGTGCATTTTTTGGAAATTTTTTATAAATCAGTTCGATAATGTGTATAGTATACATTTTTGAAGAATCAAGCTGAGTACATTTTTTCCTAATCAAAATTGAGTCTAGAAATACTATCTGTAGACGATGTACCTCTCCTGTAGTTTTTGACAAGATTATCACGAATAGGCGAAACAACAAAATTTTGATTCATTAGAGGTCGTCCTCTATCCATTGACTCAAGTCTCAGATGTGTAACTATCATCGCTTAACTACGATATTGAATTTTGACTATTTTTATCTAAAAATGAAATCTTCATATGTTACTCGAACTCAACTAAATGAAATGATATTTGCAGATTGTAGACAGTATAACACGGTTAGAAAAACGTTTGGTTTTTATACATATAGGTTTTTTGTCAAACTCATGACAAATCAGCAAAAATGTTTTTCACTTTTCCAATATAAAAGTAAGTACACTAAGTTTAGTATATCATACTGCCTACATTCAGAGAGTGTTACCTTCTTTAGTTGAGTATTTTTAAATTCTTCAATGATCTGCGCTACATTCAAATAGTAAAAAATTTTTGTCAAAAACTTCGTTTTTCCGAAGCTGAGACTAATATTTCACTAATCAGTGATTATATATAATAGTTGAAACAAGAGAATTCGCCTGTTTCAACTAGTATATATAATCATCTCTCTTCTAAAGTTAGATAGTCATATTAGCCTGATAATGATACTATGAAGTATCAAAAGCTCGCTTTTCGTGTAATATGATTTTATAAAAATGTTTTTCAATTATATTAATTATAATTAGTTTTATTAGAAACGTAAAAAGGTCAAAGAATGTCAATATACTAATCAGTGATTATTAACCTATACAGTTCAACTTTTAGATTATTATTCGTTTTCAAATGACATTTTGGGATGAAATGGAGTTAATACTTATTTGTATTGCTATTATCATCGTTACGTTTTTAACTATATTTGGAAATTTATTTGTATTATTTGCATTTTATAATGATCCACGTCTACTCACAGCAAGTAATAATTTTATCCTGTCAATGGCCATCGCTGATTTTCTTGTAGGACTTTGTATGCCATTTTATTCGTTTGTTGAAATTAAACATTTGTGGCCATTTGGTCAGCTATTTTGTAAAATATGGTTGACAGTCGACGATATTGCAACACATGCAAGTGTTCTCAGTATAGTAGCCATTACTATCGAAAGATATTGGAGTATTAATCATTCTGCACACTATCGAAAACATATAACAAACACAAGAATTCGATTTTGTTCACTTCTTATATGGTTAATACCATTAATCAATTTTGCGCCGGGTATTTGGTTCTTAAAGCCAAAACGACACATTGAAATAAATGTAAACTCAACATTATCAGTCCGAAAAAATGAACCATGTATTGGTGCCTACCATAATTATACATTCTACTTAATCATTGCTCAATTTAATTTTTTTGTTTGGCCTCTCATCGTGATTATTATTCTCAATTTATTGATTGTTATTAACCTGTATAAAAGATCTCAGCGATTTCCAACATTAACATGTGGAACCGTAAAAGTTTCTCGTTTGCAACAACGACGTCATACACTTCCTGCATCATGTCAACATGAAACACAATTGGAGAAAAAACCATCGACGGAACAACTGTTATTTCAACATAAAAGTAGCGAATTAGAATGGGCACAACCAACAGATAATTCTAATCCAATTCTCTATGAAAATTACATCAAATATAAAAATTTACACGATATATTTCGCTATTGTATCAATTCAACAAGAGAATTAGAATTAAGCAAGGTAACAGTTTAATTATGATTTTAAGTAAAATTTGACCATATCGGAATGAAAACAATTACCCTATGAAAAAATTAGTGGAGTTAATTGTTTTTCGAATAATTTAAAGCTGAAAACTAGAGCTGTGGTTTCTACCATTTGAAAGAGACGACTTCGGTGTATGTTTTCAGAAGAAAAATGATTTTTCAAGATTTTCGAGAACTTTAGAAAAAAATGTCATCAACCAAAAAGTTGAAATATTAACTAACTGTTTTTTTTCATGGATTGATAGCCTAGAGTATACTCTTAAAAATAGAAATCAAATAAGATTTTGGTTTTCAGCTGTTCGGACATGGACATGGAAAAATCATTGTTTTGCTCAAAAATTTTCTAGTAACTCTAATTTCAGATATTGAAAAATATTTCTGTAGACTCATTAATTAGTAATTAGATATAAAATAGCTTTGAACAATTGTTTAATATATTTTTAGGGTGATGAAAAATCCATTGTACCAGTGGATCACAATATTCAAATGCGGCCGATCATTGAAATTGATCCACAAAGTGACCAGGACTCGAATTTATCTGCACAAAAGAAAAAGAAATTTTTAGATTCTTTCAAACAGGCTCGATGTCGAATGAAACATAGACGAAAACAACATCAAAATTCTCAAAAATCTCTTGAAAATCTCACTGATTCGATTACGAAATCGAATTATTCTAGCTCAAAGTCGACTCGTACATTACGTCAGTCATTATTTTCATGGCGAAATAGTTCAGTGCTATTACCTTCAAATGGCGGTGAACAGCACAGGACAGTTCGTCGTTTAAGACGCGATAAACGTGCAGCCACATCATTATTAATCCTTGTTCTTGTATTTATGATATTTTTACTACCCTATGTTGTCATTGTGATATGTGGGCGAATATTCAAAATACCGTTAACAGAAAACACGAATAAAATATATTCGATTGCATTCTGGTTACTATGGCTCAACTCGACAGTTAATCCATTTCTTTATTTGTTTATTCAACCCCGTTTCAAAGATGCATATAAAAAATTGTACCAAAGATTAATTCATAGAAGATTTTGTAATAAATTATAGTGTATTTTCAGATTTATGTTTTCCTTAATAAATGGATAAATGTAGAACGATTTATACTAAAATGTCACTTCATGGTGGGAGCTGTTTGATCAGATCAATCATACACCATTAATCGTTCTTATTTTTCTCATTTGCTTGACTAGTCAAAGATAGTGTAAATCAGTATATGTACAGGAAAATTGCTCTAATAGGGTCAATCTTCGAAGTTGATCCTTCATTTTAATACTGATCTTCAAACACAACTCTATACAAAAGACTAGTCTGATCCAGAGTAGTTCATTCTCGTTGATTGCTTGTTTTGGGTAGAGATGAAGAATTTCAACCCTCTCATACATATTTCACTTGCCACTTAATACCTTTTTCACAAACGGGAGAAATTGAGTTGTACGACACAACGGCAAAATATGCTGTCGGACAATCTAACATAATAAATATATCCAAGGTAATTACAAGACTTGTCGATACCGATACGTAACCGCAGTACCTTTGACGTATATGATGAACAACACAAAGCTAAATGTCAGTCTCATTTGACTGTTAAGATATTGGTAGTTTTATGTTTCAAGGCTTATTGATGATAAAACCCATTTTACTAAAAATAAATTTTTGTACAGCAGCAGTCATTTATTAATAAATGACTGCTGCTGTAGAAAAATTTATTTTTATTCGCTTGTTGGCTCTAAATCGTAATAATGATCCATTTTGCTCCTAGGCAATATTTGTACTAAAAGCTAGAACTTTGCGCGTACGTTTGTAATCATAGAAACAAATTCCTTCTCAAAACTAGATGTTTATCAAGCAATAATAGGAGTATTTTTCAAAAACAGTCAAGATATTGAATAAATATAAATAATTGACCTTCTCGCTAAATGAAACTCTAAGTCTATTATAAATTGTTGAAAATCATCTCATTAGTACGCAGTCTATTTGACAAATATTCTAGACGTAAGTAGGAACGTAAGTCAAGTGTTAAAGTAAAATTAAGTAATTTATTACTAAAATAGAAAAGCATACAAATTAAAATACATATACTTTTATTTACTATGTAATTGTTTAATATCAATTCGTAATTGTTTAATTTCTTTTTTAATTAATTCTACTTTTTCATTCATCTCTAATAATTTTTCTTGTTCAACACGTACAAAACGTCTAAAAATAAATTCAAGTAGAGTAGAAGAAAAAAAGAGTATTCTTTCTCTTATTAAACATACTCGTATGGTTGAATGTCTTGTTTCATTTTTCTTATGTTTGAATCTAATTCATTTGTAAAATGTTTATGTAATACTTCATTTATCTTTGTCTGTGTATCTCCTATCCGTTTTCTCATCTCTTTTTTGATTGCTGATCGTCTCATCGGAATTATATACAAACCAGTTACGGCTAATAAACCAGCACCAGCAATACCGGTCCAATCAAATGTTGCCAATGTTGCTAAAGCACCTAAAAAAGAACACAGTAATTAAATATTTAATAGTTCTCTTTCTCTCTCTCTCTCTCCAATGTCTCACCCAATCCAACAGCTCCAATTTCCACAGCAGCCGTTTGTATCATTGTACTTTTAATATTTTGGCTCAATTGTTCCGCTTGTGTTATTGTACCTCGCTCCTTATCGGTTAAAACAATTTGACAATGACTTTGTAATTGATTAAGAATAGTCTGACGAGATAATGAAAATTCAAGACCACCACCACTCGTACCGCTAACTCTTGTCGTAGATAAATGTCTTGATATTTGTTGTGTTGTTCTATTACTTTTTTCTACTAACCAATCACAGAGAGTCGAAATGTATTCGTTGATATTCTAGAATATAACAAACAAGATGTGATAAATACGTATACAATATATAAACAATTTTTTTATGAGTATGAAAAAAAAAGAACATTTATCTTAAAATATGACGACATACTTGTTGCATATTTTTATTCACTTGTTCATCAAACAGTAATTTCATTTCTCCCGTGCCTTTATATAGCATTTCGATTAGTTTCGTCAACTGAACATTTTCTGATAAAAATTTATCGGTATTATCCAACATTTGTAAGAATAAGTTATCAATTTTATTTAGTTGAAATTGAAAATCGTTTAACATTTCTGAGCGATAATTGATCAAATCTTGCTCTAATAAATCTAATAATTTTAAATCATCGTTCAATATTGTCTGTCGATTAGAAAGTAAAGATTGATACTGTTTTAATAAATGATCACAAATACCTAGATGAAATAAAACGTAAATTTTCACTTCTTTTCTTATCTTTAATTTAACTATTCTCTACTATGATTACCTAATGGATTTTGTAATTTAATTTCGATTTTATTTTCAGAATTCAATTCAAATCGAATATATTGTTCTAATTCTTTTATTCCCACATTGTTCAATGCACTTATTGGAAATATTTTCAAATCGTTTGTTTGATCTTGAAGAACAATTTTGGCATTCTCTTTAACGTAACTGAGAATTTTCATTTTATCATCTTGTGATCGAACTTGATCGATTTTATTCAATACAATAATTACTTTTTTTTTCCATTCATTGATTTTTTCTAGAAAAATACGCTCACTTTCACTAAATGGTCGATCGACACTTGTAACAAATAATATCAAATCTGAACGAGGAATAAAATGTTCTAAAAAATGAAAAAAAAACAACAAATTTTAATTTTCTAGACATTTAGAACATACTCAATTTCTTTCCATCATTTTTGCTCAAGAACTATACTTTTCTGAGAAGCTTTTCATTCAAGAATCAAGTCATAAGCGATCATAGAGTATATTTAATAAATTTTTTAATGGCACTCTCTATCAGAAATCTATTTCGGTAACTGCAAAGCCGATTTGGAGCAAACTATCAGAAATTGTTGACCATGTCGAAGTATAATGACAGAATTTTTTTTTGTTTCATCTGTATTCATTCGTGAGATGCCTCCACAACTTTAAACGTTAAAATTTTGTAAAATTCTGCTTAGTCTGGGTCCTTTAGAAATCGGAATGGTTTCATTTCATAGAGAAATGCTATTGTGCTGACAGCGCAGAGCTGGATTTTTGAAATCTTGTGTTATTGATTAACGTAAGACATTTTTTGTCCTAACTTTTTAAAAACTTCTTTCAGATTTTCCAGAGATTTTTAGTTTTTGTTACTTTCCGAAACGAAAGTGAAAAATTCGTCAAAATGACAACATTTCTCTAGTAGAGAAATGGTTTGGTTGTAATAACAACAGCAAAGCCCATACCAGACTTGAAACCCTTATAGCGACATAGAGAAAATGTGGTGATGCTAGTGTACGATACAGATTTTTGAGACTTTACGCTTTTTAAGACATCAGCTTTTTAAACTTCCTCAAAAACCCTTTATATTGACAATAACAGTATGAGTTTTAACAATAGACACCTTTGGTTACCAAACCGTCTACTTAGCTCAATATCGTCGAGGGAAGCCTTAAATAGAAGGTACAAAGATCGTGTTTTATTTTAATACTCTTATTTACCTGTAATTTGTTGATGAATTTGAAGTATTGCATTTGTTCCTGGTGTATCGACCAAAGAAGTATTTTTTAATAATTCATTTTTAATATAAAATTCTTTAATTCCATTATCTTCCACTCTTTGTTCTCGTTTATCGCCATATTTTATAATGTGAATATGATCGGTAGTTGGTAATACTCCCGTTGGACATAACTCCTTTTCATTTAATAAAGCGTTAATAAATTGAGATTTACCAGAATTAAATTCTCCAACAACAACGAATAAAAATATTTGTTCAATTCTATCAACTGCTTCCAATAACAATAGTTTATCTTTTTTAGATAAATCAAGTTGAATTTGAAGTTGTGTTAATAAATGTTTAATTCGAGTAACTAACTGACGTTGTGTTGACGTCAATAATGATTGCTGTTGTTGTTTGACATCCTTAATTCATATAAATTTTGTTAACATTTTCGTATATTCATGCAGATATTTATTACATACGCCCAATGATGGTGATGTTGTGAAAGCACTGTTTTGATTTGATAATATTTCTGTAGAAGAATAACGGACATGATTTATTAATAATTTATGATTAGTATGAAATGAACGCTGTTGAATTAATTTATAACATAAACGGGTACGAAGAATAACTTTACATGAAGACATTTATTATCTGAAAAACGAATAATAAACTGGAACCATCGTAATTATACAGATTTGTCTTTAGTTACCTTTAAATTAGTTTATCACAAAATTAATTTAATACTTAGTATTGCTCTTAGTATACATGAAATAGGAAATTAAGAACTTTGTCAACTTTTAATCTATTTCGTTAATTAGCCACTAACTTTTCGATTGCAACCTAAGTGGTTATTTATTGCAAATTATTAATGATAATACATTAGTGTGAATAATAATACTCGTATGTAAATAGTACAAAAACAACTATAAAAAAAATGAAAACAAAGCAAAACTTTTCGAGAAAAAACTCGAATGAACAAGAAACAAAACAAAAGAACAGGTTCAAAAAAGATCACATTTTTAATTTAATATGCATTTATTCGGTGAAAAAAACAAAGAGATTGTTGAATAAGATGTGTATCTGACTATTGAGATTATTCACAAGTTTAAGAAAAGAAAAGAAACAAACTACAAAATATGAACGTCAATAACAATTGACATTAAACTTCACAATATCAGACAGATGTAGTATGTAGAGAAGAACTCGATACAAGTGATGTCAAATGTATTTTTATTTGACGACAAAACATATACCAATCAAACCTCTTTCGGTAGAATGCAACATTTTCTCTCCTACTCCGTTTCTCTCTCACTATATATATACATACACATTTTGTGTTTGTTAGATGTGCAATTCTAAAATGAAACCTATCATGTTAACAAAAAAGAAAAACAAACAACTATATTCGAGAGAAAAAGAGACTTATTAAAGATTTGAAAAAGCAAAAAAAAGCCCAAAGTAGCTAATCTCATTGTTCACAACGTAACAAAAAGTTTATAATATGTGAAAAAGTAGTATTAATTAATATAAAATAAGTAAACAATAGTAAGTGATTCTTATGACTATCAGCTAATTTAAATAGATCTACTACAACAGAGAAAATGAGAGTAATTCAAAACATTGTACCAACATAAGAAAAAAAATGAAATATTAACTACACACTACTTTCATGTAATATTTGATGATGATTATTATAATGTTTATGTGTATGTCCATTTGTAATTGTAGGTGTGGTTAGAGATTCAGTATCTGATGAAGAAGATGAGAGTTCTCCTCTTCTATTATAATTATGCGTTTCCGATGATGATGTTGTTGTTGAGCCATTATTTTCTTCGTGCGTAGATTTTAATGATACTGATTCACCTTCATTTCCTTCTTCTTCGTCGTCATCATCAATAAATGGTGTTAATTGTTTTAAATCAAATGCTCCATTATGATGATTATTTTCTGGATGTTTTTTCCAAATTTTAGAATTATTTATTTCACCATTATTTGTTATTTTTTGTTCATAATTTATACTTGTTTCAGTTGGACGTTGAACACTAGATGGAAGTCGAAATGATCCATTTGTTGGAGTTAACTGTTTTGTAGTAGCTACAGAAATTGTTGGCGAAGATAAACGAACTAATGGTAGAGGACGAATGATTGCTTGAGCCGAAGGATTTATTTGAGGTTGTAAAGGAGACGGATATAGAAATGTTGGACGAAGATAAGTAGAAGGTACCAATGCCGTTGGAGAGTGCTGTAACTAAAAGACAAAAAAAAAGCAAAAGTTAAGCTTTTTTTTGTGAACAATCTGTGGCACATCCACTCTATTTTAAGCTATATGTTTCAGACCATAACTCAGTCTAAACATATTGTACTCGATAAAAAATTATATTTTTAATAGACAGAGAGATACTTCATTTAATTATAGTGTTTTGTGTTCGATAAAACAGCAGCTGTAACTTTTTAATATGGTAATGTTGTTTGATTTTATACAGACGATTTTTGATCATGAATACTTACGTTTAGTGCACCATTATTTAATGTTATTGTGGTTTTTGTTGGACTATAAATTGGTCTCTGAGGAAGTAGATCATAGTTTATTGCCGATAAATCATTTGTTTGATTTGGTATGATAGTTATTGCTTTTGGTGATACGAAAGGATGATGAACATAAGCTGTGGTTGTCTGAGGTGTCGGCGATCTTCTACAAAATAAATAGAAAAAGAATGTTTTATCTATAGTTATTAGGGTACAGCTAACAAAAACTTCTTCGTCAATCTTGATTGATTAAATAGGAAAAATTCAGAAGTGATATTTATTCATTTTTGAATAATATTGCTTAAAATTCGAGCTAACCTTGCCGTTCAAAAATAGAAGATCACAGTCTTCTACACAGTTTTACATATTAAACAATTTTTTTTTCGATGAAATCATCCTATTCGGAGAGACTCATTTTTGCTTCAAACTGATCTTCTATTCTAAGGAGAGATTTATTTCTTTTAAAAACGCGTATACATACATTGATTGTGTATCATTTACTTTCTCATCTTTCGTCGTTAGTAGAGATGATTCACTTGCAGTTGTTGTATTTGTATTTTGTTGTTTTAACTGATGTCGATGTTTGGCATAATATTTTGATGCTACATGTGCTTGATATTTGGTACCAAATGATATATTACTTTGTTCTGTTATTTCACTATTTTGCGGTACCAAACATTGATATAGAGTTGTTGACGTTTGAGATGGTGAAGGAGGACGTAGCGGTAGAGAATTATGAGATACAACCGATTCATCTCCACTAAAATGATTATTACAATTATTGCCATTATTATTTATTGTTATTGGCTGTAATTGAGGTGTCTGCGGTGGAGCGGGTGGTGGTGGCTGTTGATGCAATAGTTCAAGTTTATTTTTTTTACGTTTAAATGGTTTCAAATATGTGATTATATCAGCTCGAGATAACAAATAAAAACTAATTGTAAACAGAGCTAATAATAGAACAAGAAAACCATATAAATGTGAATAAAGAGCATATTCATATTTAAATTTTTGTTCTATATGTGGAAAATATCGATGCAACGGTCGAATAAATATTGCTGTTGATGTAATGAAGATAAGAATAAGTATTAGAAGTTGAAATAGAATGGCTAAAAGTTGATTATGAGGTGAATGTTGATGATCCATATCTGAAGAACAAATGCTATCGTTATGAGATTGATTACATTCAGGATTTAGATTTATAGTATTATTTGCCGCTGGAAATATAATTGGAAGATTTTCAGGAGTAATTGTATTATTATTATTCAATGGTTCTTGTTCTTCTTGCTCATCTTGTTCCAGATCAGAATCGGGTAAATTTCTTAAACGTAGAGCTTCTTTTGTTAAACGACTAATATTTACACGCGCTGCGATCAGAAATATAACTAAGAGAAAGATGAAGACGAATGATGGTAATAATAACGATAACAAAGGTTCGACACCATTTAAAAAACAACTAAAAGAATAAACGTAAAACTATTTGGAGAAAATCAAGATTATACGTGTGAAAACCTTCGTTCCTCCAGTCAAAAGTTGATCAGATAATTAAAATTAGTCTCTTAGTATTATATATAGACAAGTATATTTATAGACTTACAATGTTTGAGCTAGATATTGTTCTCTGGAGATAGCTACGTTGATTCCGCAGATGATAAGCGGAATTCCCCAGCCAATAAAATAAAATTGAATTAGCGGTTTTGATTTTAGTTTCATTATCGGTAATCCATCGTCATCATATTCTTGTAAAACAATAACTGATTTATCCGATTGTTCTCGTGGTCCAGACCAGATCACATATAATTTACGCCAAATACAACTAAAATTATAAAAAAAGAAAATCTCTGAGTTTACATATTGATCAACTTTTTTCCAAACTTTTCCTTATGCCTCAGCACACATACAAACTCATTTTAACATGACTTTTTCTGAATGCATTCCGTATAAAATACAAAAAATACTTACTAAGTTAATAATGTTAGCCATAGAAGTGATGTTAGACAAAAATAATGTAATGCTATTGATATCACTTGACATAAAAACTGGATTCTAACTCTGTTCACTCCAAATGAAAATAATGGAAATAACAGCGATAATGATAGCCAATAATTAATTAAACAAACGTAAAACCGTCGAGGCATCAAATAAACTCTAAACAGAAAATTTTAATTTAAAATAGAACTAAATATCTTTAATTTTTATAGAAAAAAATAAATCAACTTCATTAAAAACTAGAAATTTAAAATACAATCACGATTCACTTTATTCGTTTAGACTAGTGTTTTATAAACTAAAACATCGATCGAAAACTGCTCATCGACTTACTTCGAACAGCCTAAATAAAACATAATGCACGTGAGAAAACAACATGATGCAATAATAGATGAAACATAAACAGCCAATTCTAAGTAATCAATTCTAATGTTCGATTTCGTATCTGATAGAAGCGTTAGTAACGAATCTTCAACATTTGTACATTCAATTATATATTGTTCGGGATTCTAAATAAATAAGATTAAAAATGATATATGTAGTGTGGAGAGTATAGTTTAATTTTACTTGAAATTCGACTATACAGCTACTTGCAATTGTCCACGATGACACTGTTTTATTCCATTTACCAACGTAAACAAAAGGTGATGCTGATTTCTCATGAAAGGTCAAACGATAAGATTCAATCGACAAATTAGAAGACTCTAAATAATAATCAAGGAAACAAAAATTTAAAAAATATTTTGAGTAAAACTTCAGTAAAATTCATTACTTCGCATCAGAGATATAGAATCTAAACATGAGATTTTTTTTGTGAGTAGATTCTGCACCTCTGCTTTACACTAATATTGCATCTACCTGTATGAGCATAAAATATACCCAGATTGTTTATAGGTTGTAATTGTTGATCTTCCATATTGATGAATAGTGTTGATTGACGATAATAGAGAAGCTGAGTTGAATTTGATATCGATTGTATATATATACTCGATAAACGTGACTAAAGTAGAGAAAAATAGAAATTAACAAGTTCAGAATATGAATGTGACTTACTTGTGGTACAATATTTTTATCACATATTAACGTTAATAATTGTCGATCTGGCACAAAACAATAGAATGAAGACGCTGTTGTCTCATTTGTAGGCTGTGCAATAAGAGTTATTGCTGTCAATTGTTTACCAGCGAATATCCACGGTTGATGATTAATTGATTTCAAAATTGAGACAAGTATCATGTGTAATCTAAACAAAATTCTTTTTTATTCTATCCAAAAAACTCTAAAATTATATTATTCATACGAATATTATTTCTACCTACCTTTGTATTGCTTGTATAAAATCATTTTTAAGTAAAAGACATTGGTTTTCTTCCGAACATCCAACTTGAAGAATAAAATCAGCCAAACGATAATAATCGCTGTACACCTTAGAACAAAGAGACAAAAAGAATTAGAGAATTTTCTCATGCTAACTATTCATCTTTTGGAGACGTCTGTATGAAATATGCTAGTTATCTCTCTCTCTCTCTCTCTTTCTCTATTCTAGTAACAGTATAGTTCTTACTTGTTCTTGATTCGTAACAACAGTTGCTTGCGTTGAATTGTATAATTCTTCCATGACGCTGATGAGCAGAATGATATCAATAATTTTTGCTTGTGCATGTGATACAACTTTGGTAAGTTCTACTAGTTTACTAATAACAGATGAATTAGTTTGTTGATATTCCGTTAGAATGTCATCAATTTGTTTCGATATATTTGATTTAAATGCACATTGTGATAAATCTAAATCTATCCAGTTTCCTTTCGATGAACATTTATGATAACCATGAGCAGTTGCACTGAGATTGAACCATGGCGCATTCCCATATGGACATTTTAATTCAATTTCGTTTCCATTCAATGTACGAGGCCATTTAAATGTGCCTTTGGATGTTTCTATGTAATATTCATTACAGACAAAATTTGATGATAAAACTTTTAACGAGACACTTTTGTAGGTTCGATTCAGATAAGAACATGTATAAAGACCACTATGATTTAATACATGCAGTGATGGAATAATCAATGCTGATGAAAGATAATTGTTGACAAATGAAGTCTCAGTAGATTGAACAGGTATATTATTTACTGTCCACGTCAAGTGATGACCATGTGGATTATTAACACGTAAAGAACAATTTAAATAAAATGGATCATTTTCATAAACTAATTGCGATTGATCGGGATAAATGGATAATGATAATGTTTGATGTTGGTCACGAGGTGAGTACGAATTACCTAAATATAGATAACAATATAAATGAGAGCAAACAAGAGTATTGAGATATAACAGCGTTTAATATTAAACATATTTTGTACAAACACCAGAAGAAAAATAAAATCGTTTTATTTTTACTTACTTGTTACACATAAATCTTGTTCTTTCAATTTAGTTAGAGGTATTCCTTGCAGTTGTCGTGGTTTGTAACAATTCGACGTTTTTGTTATGTTTATTGTTTTTAACCATTTCTGAATCCATTTTAGTTTACAAACACATTCCAAAGGATTTTGAGCTAAATCTAAATAAATATTACTATTCTCATTGAATGATCGAGGTAAAGTTTGTATTTGATTTGATTTTAGTAACAGAGTTGATAGTTGAGTAAATCGTCTTAATAGTTCATAAGGTAAATGAGTAATCCCATTTGAAGAAAGATCTAATGCTTCTAAATAATCTAAACCGTTGACATTTTGTTGCAGTAAGTAATCAATTGATGTTAAACGATTTGAGGATAAATTTAGAACAAGTGTTGTTGTAGGAAATTCGGTTAGCGATAATAAAGATTGATCAGTGAGACCCTGTTGAATACATGTTACAACAGTGGACGAACATTTGCATACAGATGGACATGCCAACGATGCTGCATAGCTCGTTAAAAGACATAAAAGAAGAAGTAAAAAATTAAACATTATTATATAATAGCATCAATAACAGCAACAACATGATCTAAAAATAAATTGAAAAAAATATTTATTTATTACTTACTATTATAAGAAAAATATTCTATTATCATTCCGTTAATAAGAACATACCATAATAAGACTTTCTAAATTTTTAATAAAGGTAGACTGCTTCATGTCAGTAAGCTTTCAAACAAACGTTAAATCATTCGATTCATAAATGTGTAAAGTGAACAAAACTCCTGCTGTGAAATTAACATATTCATATATAGTATATAATGAGAAAACTGTAAGCAATAGAGTGTGTAAACAAATCGAGTTAAAGATAAATCTGCTACACTTGTTCAATCAGTTCAAGAAATGTTGACTATAATGTTTCGATTAAAAAATTTCTTTACAATCTCTAGAATACCCAAGAGCAGTACTCGTATTTTAAATATAAACTACGATCTCATCTTTTGTTCATAGTATCAGTCTGTCAAATGCACATACACAGTCATCCAAATCTATGATTACTTTTTTCTACTTTTTCCAAGAAAACAGACAGTAGAAATTGTAATTTAAGACACAAAACACACTATAGAACTGCATGGATTTTTATTCGATTGAGACAATAGCAATATAAAAATAAGTTTAATTAATTCTTAGGAAAAAGCATACTAAACACTAGTGTACAAGTTTTGCACACGCTCTCGCATTTTTGATACACTATTTTTACAAAAATTGCCTTTCTCTTCTGTTATTAGTTTGATAAAAAGGAAAAGTTAATAAGCAATTTGTTCGCGTCTCATCTATCATTTGAGCTTTTTCTCATACTAATTGAGGAACATGTGCAGTGTCTTTCTTTCTCTCTTCGTCTGCGGATACTCCTGCTGTTCAGATATGCACGTTTTAATTCTAAATGACCTGCTTTATTTCATTCATCTAACACTATACTCGAATATAACCAATTCTGTAAAAAAACACACTACTTTTTACATGGCACTAGACTATATGTATAATTTTGAACAGAGAGAAGAACGATACGACAGAAACGAAACAAAAACCATGAAGAACAATTGATGAAGAAGATGTCTAGTTCAAAGTTACCTGCCAATAACAGCTGCCAAAAATGGCCGCTGATGATAATATTTTTTTCTTTTCTTTCTCTCTTTTCGTTGAATAAAAATTCAACCAATGTCTATATATATTCGATTAGATGTATGCATTCTGTTTTCTATTTTGTATATATATGTACAGCAAATTTCTCTTCTTAGTTTAAAGCCCTGTTTCTGTGACAATGTAATATTTGAACAGACCGATCGATAATTATCTATATAATACCCAAGACCAGTCCATTTTTACATACAATACAGACATGTTTGATTTGGTCAAACTAAGGCATTCATAAATTTCTACCGATAAACACTACAATTACCGCAAAATTTCGAAATTTCACGTTTATAGCAGAGATTTAAATTTCAGAGGGTAAAATTTACAGATGCCTTGGGTCACAGTTGCCGCTTAAATCACAGTATCCATCACAGGTACCACACAGGCGTAATAAAGCATGGAAACAAACCGTATTTATTAAAAACTTTAACTTATAATCCGTAGTTAGTAAGGACCAGTCAACATTTTTAAAAGAAAGTGGAAAAATTCTCATAATTTAAAGTATCCGTCTCATGCAAGCGACATGCCTGCGTGAACTGTATGCACAGGCAACGTAAGTGAACAGAAATTGGTCTTAGGTAGAAACAAACGTTTCCTTCGTTCGTTCTTTAATTGCTATTGCAGGTGAGTTCTGACTACGAAAAGATGAATCACTTTCCTTGTGTATTTGTTAAGCATTATTGTTTTAAACAAATCAAAAAACAGTTTTTCACCTCCTCGAATAAGATAGAAAAGAGGTTGATGTTTTTCCCCGTTTCGCGTTTGTATTTTTTTCTTCTTCATTTAAAGGTGTATCTTTATTTGGTTAAGTTCCGCATCTAACGTATAGGTCTAGGCAATAGATGGTGCTAGTGACTTACTGTTCAATACTTATTGTTATTTTCCCTGCAGTCTATATTGAATGGACGTCTACGCCATTTGAGACATGATGAATAAATAAAGGAATGAGATGGTGCATGTTTGAAATTTTTTTGTTACCATACCAAGTTGAGCTAGAGCGAGAAAGTTGAAGTTAACGTTTGGAGGATGGTGGACTTTAAAGACACTATTGCGCAGTCATAACGGACTGAAGAAACACTCAAACACATTATTGTTTTTAAGACTAATTATATAGCAAGTTTTCATGTGAGCTAGAAAATTGAATTTTATAGGTGGTATAAAATGACAGGCGAGGCGTTATGTCTAAACCTTTAGATGGGATAGGCGCCGGTACTATATTTATTGTTCCTGGTGAGTTTTGTTTGGGGAATCTTTACATGTTGGTATACGGTATTAATAACAATTATTAAATGCTTTCTTTCTATTGGTTTTCCCCTTAAATCTTATAGTTCGTACCCAACGTTTGCAACATTAACAACTGAAGTTAAATACAATCTTGTTAGTGACCGTCATAAACGATTTTTTCTTTATACATGCAGTCGCGTCCATCAACAACTAAGTTTTTAAGAAATCTGTACTATCGTAGTTGACTGTTCCAATCTCGCAGAATTTGTGAGAGATTCCTGATTTCAAAACCGTTTCCGTGGGTATCCTGAGTATATCCTACTTTTGAGAAAAATCGTAATTTTTGGAAATTTTTAAAGAACTCACGCAGATTTTTCGATGCCGAAAAGTTATTTACTATTTTGTTTTGCACGGACAAAAATTATAATGGAACATCATGCTTCTTAAAAGAACTTGTATAATTTTCTCGTAATGAACGATTCAATAAAGTGTCAGAAGAAATCACTATACTCATAAAATAATTTTGATACTTTACGTACGTTAGTAGACGTTACAAAACTTTTCTCCAGAAATAATGCGGTTGATTAGGCTAAATTTACAAATATAACGCGTGACAACCCTTCTCCAGAGAAGACCCGGTCTAGATTCCGTTAAATATGACTCTTAAGAGATTAAACGCGTTCCCACATGTTCTGATTTAAAGAAATAATGCGTGCGCATATTTTCTTAACGCATGCAAACGAATTTAGCTGAAAGAGTTGCTCTTAACAGGTTTGAACTAGTGTAAATATGTAGAGCGTTCTAAAAGCTTTTAAACAATAGTACGTTCAAACCCATTATAGTAAAGGTTAGAAAATGCTTCACTTATTCTTAAAGAGAATGCGATTAAACGTCTTAATAGTTTCTTTAGTTTACCCGTTATAACACGTTTTACACGTTGAACTATTACATCTGATTGCTTTGAACGTGTTTGAACATAAAGAACAAACTTATATTTCTGAACAAGAACTTACTAGCTAACAGAAAATGGGAGGACAACGTTGACATTGTAAATAAACTCCTAGCAATAAATTATTAGTGTGCGATCTTCTCTAATAACATTTTTGAGCTTAATTCAAAGCCTAATATATTTTTCACAATGAAACGCGTTTGAGATAGTCCCAGTATGCTCAATAGCATGGACATCGTCTTTTTATGAAAAGTATCAACATCGCGAAGGTTCAATAGTGTATGGAGACCGTGCGATCGAGACATCTAAGTTCGTTCATGCTGTCATACCAACAAGATTTTCTATTCCAAGATTAAATTTAATTATAAATGATCATCACGATTCTATTTAAAGTAACTATAAAAGATCATGGAATGTAGCTCTGATACATATGTCATAAACTACAACTGTGTGGAATTTGATCATGCCTTTGCAAATAGAAAGATAAAAGTTTCGTGAATGAAAAAAGTTTTCATCTCAGCCTTATTTCCATGCCAACTTTTTCTCTTTTATAATAAGCTGTTTTGCATTTTCGGTTTGAGCGAATTTCGAATCGCTATCCTCTCTCTATCTTGAGAAGAATATATTATATACTATTTAGTTATGTCAGTATCAATTATCTAATATCGAATAATAATTTCGAAAATTATCAGATCGAAGAGATTGTCGTCGAACTCGAGATTCGTACCGCTTCTCTTTGTATCGTTTGTTACAAAAAAAACAAATATATGATTTGTAATTGTCTAATTTTCATTCGTCTTTTGTTAAATTCGAAAAAAGTAATATATTAACGGCATCGTGAATAAACTATGAGCAAATCTTCATCAGTAACAAAACACGATAAAGGTCGAAGTCCAAAACAACAAGCACAAATACAAAAAATTCAGCAGGGAAAAAATGGTATTCAGTCTCGTGGCGTACCTGGAAGCAGTGGGACAAAGTACTATTCAAATGATCCACAACCACTGTTAACACTCGGTTATCAAATTGATAACATTGGTGACCCATTAGGTACTGGGTCATACGCTCGTGTCAAGTAAGATGGATGTAGAAAATGGATTGTTATGCTGTGGATGTATAATTGCTTGAAGATAAGGCACACATGTCTGTTTCTTTTCAAAAATGGTGTGGGTGTTCGATGATTGATTTGGTTTTTTCCATAAAAACGATGAATTCTACCATTTTTTTCGTTATCTTAGAATTTATTCGATTTTGGTTCTTCCGGAGATTCTCCGTCTTTTTAATCGTTAATTGTCATGCATTTACTAGTTGCAGTTCAATTAGGCCCTACCCGAACTTGTACTAATTCAAAAGTGGAATGATGATTTGCTTATTTAGGAGGAAGTAACTTTACCAAAAATTATTATCTAATATTTTCTCACATCACCGACAGAAAAATAGAGTTCATTTAGAGTCGCGGAAAAGTGCTTCTTCATATTTAGCACACTCAATAATTCCGAAGATTTTCTATTTTTGGCAAGGGATCCTACCAAACGTTTAAGAGAAATTTTGAAATTAATATTATTTTCTCATGAAAATTATTTTTCGCCATTTTGTTTTAAAAACATTTTACAATACTCCTCGTCAAACAAAAGAAAATTTTCTGGGTTATCGAGTGTGCTGAATACAGAAAAAAACTCTTTTCTGCGACTCTAAATGGACTTTATTTTTTTCTTCATATCGATATGAATTGAAAAACCGATATTGATCTCGATTCTTTCTATTTTTTACTTCAGAAAATGTATCCGTACGAGTGATGATATGATATTTGCCGTTAAAATAATCGATAGAAAAGCGGCCGTAGCAGATTTTGTTCAAAAATTTTTACCAAGAGAACTAGATATAATACGGACATTAGACCATCCGAATATTGTTAAAGTGTGTAAAGAAACGATGGAACAAAAAATATATGTACTTTTGTTATGTATTATCTTTTTAGACCCATGATATTTATGAGTCAAGTAACCTTACCTACATTGTAATGGAATACGCACAAGGAGGAGATCTATTAGATTACATAAATGTAAGTAATTCTTCCACATTTATTTTGAAAAAAACTTTATGTTGTTGTATGAACGCATAAGATTTTTGATAGTTGGTATATTATAAATTTTCAACTAACTAACCAATTTGTATTTTATGCCAAAAATTCAGTAAGTGAACGTTCTTTACGATGGTTTAAAGCTCTTTTAAAGAGCTGTGCATAATAACTAAACCGCATCGTCAGTATACTATTGCTTTCAACAGTTATTTGAAATTGTGGTTGATTTGTAAGAATCTCTTCGAATAATTTTATGCTGGATATTATGGATGGTATCCTAGTAGCTTTTTAGTTTGTAGAAAATGGGTCGATTAAAAGAACATGTCGCAAAACGGATGTTCGGTGAATTATGTGAAGCCATTCAGTATATTCATTCACGAGACATTTGTCACAGAGATTTAAAGTGTGAGAATTTGTTATTGGACAAATATGAACGAATAAAACTAGCCGATTTTGGTTTTTCACGATTTTGTTACGATAAATATCACAAAAAAACGTTGAGTCGAACGTTTTGTGGTTCTGCCGCTTATGCAGCACCAGAAATTCTCCGTGGACAAGAATATAATCCTAAATTGTATGATATATGGAGTATGGGATGCATCCTATATATCATGATCTATGGAACAATGCCCTATGATGATAGTGATATTAAGAAAATGGTACAAGCACAACAACAAGGTATCCGATTTGATAAAGATGATAAAAATCGTTTAGGAGAATTGAATAAATATGTTGAAGTCAACGGGTTAATATCAGCCATGCTGCAAATAGATGTTACCATTCGGTTAAATATTGAATTAGTTCGACGACATTCTTGGCTAGTAAAAGTTGTAGGACAACCATATGTAGATGAAAATGCTGAGAAAAAAGAAAAATCAAATTATCAACAATCACAATCACAACAAACAAACCGAACACCCTTCAAGTAAGTAAGTATGACAAAAGAATACACAGATTCTTTCTGTATCATTCGTATTTTACTGTCAAGTCTTTGAATTGTTGTATCCCATTATCTTTTAGACTTCGTAATTATTATGAACAACAAGCTGTCGTGTAAATGTTCAAAATTAATCTTGTTGCTGTATGTGTTTGTGTATTACTGTGTTGATAGAGTTAAGTTTAGCTGTTACTTTTCTTTTTTCACAGACGATAGAGAAGGACGAAGCACCATCAACATTCATATTATTCATTTTCAACAGTATTTCGATTCGATGGTATTTTGTACGAATAATTTGATGTGCGTTTCTCTAATTACTGAACGTAGCGAAACCATTATTCGAATAACAAAATAATATTTCAATAAAAATATACGTATAAATGTACTACTACGTAGATGGGATCAACAATAGATTTAAAAGTTCTCACAGTGTCTAATTTTATAGAAACTCTTGGCTTTCTTTAATATTAAAAATATCATGGATATATTTTTCGAGTTCATAACTTTCAGAGGCAAAATATGTCAGAACGAGAGGACTTGTGGTGAACATTAACCAATTATTCAAAATTTCGAATTTAAACAAACAGTGGTGCGATTAATAGAATGTTAACGGTCATCCTGAAAATTCGATTGACCTCTAAGACTAGTATTAGTCTCGAAATTTGAATGCATAGATCTCACCAGGAAGAGTTTTTTCGTGGGCTCCACTGGATTGAATCGAACTAATTCTAATCTTAGTCTAGTTAAATTGAGTTTGGCGTACATCATATGTCTTCTACTCTACATTCTATTCTTTCTTTTTCTTGAAGAAACATCACCACTATTATTATGGCAGTGATATAATTTCTGTGCTGATGTTGTCATCATTCATCTTTCACCACTTGAATGTAAAGAAATGATGCGTGTTATAAAACACAAGGTAATTATAAACGCAGTTGAGATGGGCAATCATTTTTGAATGAATTTCATTTGCTGAGATTTCTCCAATTATCCCTTATTTACAAAATGAATGCAAGCCTCTTATTTCAAAATCAAACATTAAACTATAAAGCGTCAAATTGTTTCATTGAAAATATTCATTTTTAAAGGATTTAGTTGCAACATTGATGAAGCATTAAACATAAATGCTTTTTAAATGAATAGTGAACTAGGTCAAATTAACATGCAATTTATTCATTTATTTTTATTCATATTTTTTATTCATTTTTCAATTCACTCAATCAATGATACTTATGCTAAGCATAAACAACGTGATGTTCGTCAAAATAGATATTAACTTGTTTCGCTTATTGTAAATGTTTGAGCAATATGTCGAGTTAATTTTATTTTCCTTGAATCATAAGAGGCAAAAATAAAAGATTTTTTCTGCTGTTAATATGAATATGTGCCTACTAAGTTTGATAATCTGTTGTTCGCATTAATGTAAGTATTTTTTTCTCTGTAGAAACAGAAGGTTTAATCAAGGATGCATAATAATCTCGGTAAAAATCTGAAAACATCAAACATTCTTACTGTATTTACATGGAACAATGTGCAAACGAATAAAATGATCGAATTGAATACTGAAACTCTATCGGTTCATATGAGTACTTCTGAAAACATTTATCGAATCTGACGACAGCTTTTTTTAGAAGGACCTGTTGTAGTTGTGAATCATCTGAGACAAAAAAGATTTGACTATCTTTGCAGACGAATGACGATAATTTTTTTTGCAAATTATTCATAAGCGTTATCTAGTAACTTGAGTATGTTTGAGTATAAATTTACACTACTTTTTTACTCAGAATAATGAATAAGTTGTTTACATGACATCCAGTCTTTCTCTGATCTTCACAATGAGTGATCTAAGCATTATCCAGAAGTAACTAATATCAAATATCTCTGCTCAAGCCCGACCAACCGCAACCAGGAATTTTTCACTATTGAGTCAACTTCCATTAGGTCAGAATGCAAGACGAGAGCACACTGTAAATATCCCAGAAAGCTTTGGGCTAAAAGAGTTTTTCCAAAAATTTTAGTTTAGAAAATCACAAATTTTTAAATCCAATTTTTTCTAAATCAGAATTT